TATATCTCAAACTCACACATTTACCTGTTGATGGACACTTGGGTTGCTTCTACCATTTGGCTGGTTGAATAATGCTGCTGTGAAAATGTGTATACAAATACCTGCTCTCAATTCTTCTGTGTGTACATATCCAGAAATAGAATTACTGGATCATATGGTGATTATAGTTTTAAGTACTGGAGGGACCACCATACTGGTTTCCATAGTGGCTGCATTGTGCTGTATGAGAGTCTGGTTTCTCCACATCTTCACCAAAATATGTGGAGCCATCCTGATGAGTGAGAGGTGGTATATTATAGTTTCAATGTGGTCAATAGGTTTTTAAACTAAGCCACGTGATATAAATAAATTTCTGGTATCAAGAATAAAAATTATATTCCAACATGAGCAGTAGCAAAAGACCAAACAGTGTGACCTTGGGGACTAAAAAGTTTACAAGCAGAAATGCTGAAGATCCAAAAGTAGACAAAGGCCAGATTACAGGGGCTATCCCATGGAACAGCAGACAAGTAGCCCTTTGGGATTAAATATTAGAAATTAATTTTTTAAAAAATTTCATAAAAGTTAATGACTATCTTAGGCTGGGGATATAGCTCAGTGGTAAAGTCTAATATGTGTGAGGGTTTGATTCCCCAGTATCAAAATACACCTTTCACATTCACTGATATTCCACTGTTTATCAAAGGAGAAAACAAAGATTCAATAAGTCAAATGTTAGTCAAATGAGTAAATAAAACGTTAGCTTCCGTCAACTTACTCTACAGTATGTACAAATAAAATGACAGGACAGGGCCACAAGGATGGGAACCTTTCTCTGAAGATTCCTGTGCACATTCCATATTAGACATTTATATGGACATAGCCAATAGAAAATGCTTTGCAAATTTTCAACGATGGTATCAAATAGCCCTCACGTCACAGAAATCTTGGTTTGACATGGCCTTTTCACTTAATTCCTCTGGAATTTCAAATATCAGCAAAATTTTAAAAAAAGAAAAAGTGCTAACATGATCTGAGCTCTCTGAAAGCTCCTATCAGAAATAGAAGTGCCTGAGTGAAGCCAGTAACTCAGTAATAAACTTAACCTGTCTCCTTAAGTTACCGTACCTGGTGGATTTCAATGCATTTGCCAAAAATCAAACTACCATCCGTTTTCACTATATAGCTATGGTACAGAGTTTCAAATCAAATAGGATACACAGAAATCCTTTCACATTAGCCATCGGACAGGGTGTTTCCTCTGTTTAGAAAAAAAACAAAAAGTCCAAATAGTGTGCACTCTTGTTGGCCACCAGGAATGAGGTGAGGTGAGGTGAGGTGAGGACAGACGGGAGGGACCCGGAAGGGAAAGAGGAAGAAAAAGGGTCAGATGGGCAGCGGGTAGTTTACTGCTGTTATTCCAACAGTCCAAAGCTGTAGGCCCAGCCCCAGACGGTGACATCAGCCTGCAGCT